TCAGGGACGTAGATCTCGACACGCTGATTCCAAAAATATAGCGTCTTAATGGTCACGGAGCAACGGTTTCGAAAAAATCGACATGAAATGCGAATTTGTGAAAATTTCTAAATTTTCGATTTTTCGATGGTCAATTCTGGAAAAACGGTTGCTGGTATCAGAGAAACGAAGCCGGAAGTGAGTTCTAGAGTCCAAAATCTACAAGCAAATGTGTTTAGTTAAGTTTCGAAAATGTCAAATTTTGACCGAAATTTGAAGAAGGGGGGACCATTGGAAAAATTTCACTTTTAAAAAAGTCGTCTAAAAATTCTGAAAAAATTCAGGAACGTAGATCTCGACACGCTGATTCCAAAAATATAGCGTGATAATGGTCACAGAGCAACAGTTTCGAAAAAATCGACATGAAATGCGAATTTGTGAAAATTTCTAAATTTTCGATTTTTCGATGGTCGATTCTAGAAAAACGGTCGCTGCTGTCAGAGAAACGAGGCCGGAAGTGAGTTTTAGAGTTCGCAATCTACAAAAAAATGTATTTAGTTAAGTTTAATCGACATGAAATGAGACCACTATCGAAAAAATTGGGCGGATTTTGCATATTTTTGAATGTTTCAAAGGAAGATTCTGGAAGTACCATTGGAGTTATCGAAGAAATGAAACCGGATATGACTTCTGCGGTCCGAAATTTATAAGAAAATGTATTTAGTAAAATTTCGAAAATTTTGTTGAAAATTGGTCGAAAATTGGGCGGATTTTGCATGTTTTTGAATGTTTCAAAGGACGATTCTGAAAAAACCAATGGAGTTATAGAAGAAATGAAAGCGGATTTGACTTCTGCAGCCCGAAATCTACAAGAAAATGTATTTTGTGAAATTTCGAAAATGTTGTTGAAAATTGGTCGAAAATTGGGGTATTTTGCATATTTTTGAATGTTTCAAAGGACTATTATGGAAAAGCCAATTGAGTTATCGAAGAAATGAAAGCGGATATGACTTCTGCGGACTGAAATCTACAAGAAAATGTATTAAGTGAAATTTCGAAAATTTTGTTGAAAATTGGTCGAAAATTGGGGTATTTTACATATTTTTGAATGTTTCAAAGGACGATTCTGGAAAAACCAATGGAGTTATCGAAGAAATGAAAGCGGATATGGCTTCTGCGGACTGAAATCTACAAGAAAATATATTAAGTGAAATTTCGAAAATTTTGTTGAAAATTGGTCGAAAATTGGGCGGATTTCGCATGTTTTTGAATGTTTCAAAGGACGATTCTGAAAAAACCAATGGAGTTACAGAAAAAATGAAAGCGGATTTGACTTCTGCAGCCCGAAATCTACAAGAAAATGTATTTTGTTGAAAATTGGTCGAAAATTGGGGTATTTTGCATATTTTTGAATGTTTCAAAGGACGATTCTGGAAAAACCAATGGAGTTATCGAAGAAATAAAAGCGGATATGGCTTCTGCGGACTGAAATCTACAAGAAAATATATTAAGTGAAATTTCGAAAATTTTGTTGAAAATTGGTCGAAAATTGGGCGGATTTCGCATGTTTTTGAATGTTTCAAAGGACGATTCTGAAAAAACCAATGGAGTTACAGAAAAAATGAAAGCGGATTTGACTTCTGCAGCCCGAAATCTACAAGAAAATGTATTTTGTGAAATTTCGAAAATTTTGTTGAAAATTGGTCGAAAATTGGGGTATTTTGCATATTTTTGAATTTTTCAAAGGACGATTCTGGAAAAACCAATGGAGTTATCGAAGAAATGAAAGCGGATATGACTTTTGCGGACTGAAATCTACAAGAAAATGTATTAAGTGAAATTTTGAAAATTTTGTTGAAAATTGGTCGAAAATTGAGGTATTTTGCATATTTTTGAATGTTTCAAAGGACGATTCTGGAAAAACCAATGGAGTTATCGAAGAAATGAAAGCGGATATGGCTTCTGCGGACTGAAATCTACAAGAAAATATATTAAGTGAAATTTCGAAAATTTTGTTGAAAATTGGTCGAAAATTGGGCGGATTTTGCATGTTTTTGAATGTTTCAAAGGACGATTCTGAAAAAACCAATGGAGTTATAGAAGAAATGAAAGCGGATTTGACTTCTGCAGCCCGAAATCTACAAGAAAATGTATTTTGTGAAATTTCGAAAATTTTGTTGAAAATTGGTCGAAAATTGGAGTATTTTGCATATTTTTGAATGTTTCAAAGGACGATTCTGGAAAAACCAATGGAGTTATCGAAGAAATGAAAGCGGATATGACTTCTGCGGACTGAAATCTACAAGAAAATGTATTAAGTGAAATTTTGAAAATTTTGTTGAAAATTGGTCGAAAATTGGGGTATTTTGCATATTTTTGAATGTTTCAAAGGACGATTCTGGAAAAACCAATGGAGTTATCGAAAAAATAAAAGCGGATATGGCTTCTGCGGACTGAAATCTACAAGAAAATATATTAAGTGAAATTTCGAAAATTTTGTTGAAAATTGGTCGAAAATTGGGCGGATTTCGCATGTTTTTGAATGTTTCAAAGGACGATTCTGAAAAAACCAATGGAGTTATCGAAGAAATGAAAGCGGATATGACTTCTGCGGACTGAAATCTACAAGAAAATGTATTAAGTGAAATTTTGAAAATTTTGTTGAAAATTGGTCGAAAATTGGGGTATTTTGCATATTTTTGAATGTTTCAAAGGACGATTCTGGAAAAACCAATGGAGTTATCGAAGAAATGAAAGCGGATATGGCTTCTGCGGACTGAAATCTACAAGAAAATATATTTAGTGAAATTTCGAAAATTTTGTTGAAAATTGTTCGAAAATTGGAGTATTTTGCATATTTTTGAATGTTTCAAAGGACGATTCTGGAAAAACCAATGGAGTTATCGGAGAAATGAAAGCGGATATGACTTCTGCGGACCGAAATCAACAAGAAAATGTATTTTGTGAAATTTCGAAAGTTTTGTTGAAAATTGGTCGAAAGTTGGGGTATTTTGCATATTTTTGAATATTTCAAAAGACGATTCTGGAAAAACCAATGGAGTTATCGAGGAAATTAAAGCGGATTTGACTTCTGCAGTTCGAAATCTACAAGAAAATGTATTTAGTGAAATTTCGAAAATTTTGTTGAAAATTGGTAGAAAATTTTGCATATTTTTATGTATTTCAAATGTCGATTCTGGAAGAACCATTAGAGTTATCGAAGAAATGAAAGCAGAAATGACTTCTGCGGCCCGAAATCTACAAGAAAATGTATTTAGTGAATTTCGAAAATTTTGTTGAAAATTGGTCGAAAATTTTTCATATTTTTATATATTTCAAATGACGATTCTGGAAGAATTATTGGAGTTATCGAAGAAATGAAAGCGGAAATGACTTCTAAGGCCAGAAATATCCGAGAAAATGTATTTAATGAAAATTCGAAAATTTTGTTGAAGATTGGTCGAACATTTTGCATATTTTAATATATTTCAAATGACGATTCTGGATGAACCACTGGAGTTATCGAAGAAATGAAAGCGGAAATGACTTCAAAGGCCAGAAATGTACTTCCAGAATCATCCTTTGAAATATATAATGTGTTAATAGTCACGGAGCAACAGTTTCGAAAAAATCGACATTAAATGCGAATTTGTAAAAATTTCTAATTTTTCGATTTTTCGATGGTCGTTTCTGGAGAAACGGTTGCTGCTATCGGAGAAACGAGGCCGGAAGTGAGTTTTAGAGTTCGAAATCAACAAGAAAATGTGTTTAGTGAAGTTTCGAAAATGTCAAATTTTGGCCGAAATTTGAAAAAGGGGGGATCATTGTAAAAATTTCACTTTAAAAAGAGTCGTCTAAAAATTCTGAAAAAAATTCAGGAACGTAGAGCTCGACACGCTGATTCCAAATATATAGCCTGTTAATGGTCACGGTGCAACAGTTTCGAAAAAATCGACATGAAATGCGAATTTGTGAAAATTTCTAAATTTTCGATTTTTCGATGGTCGATTCTGGAAAAACGGTTGCCGCTATCAGAAAAACGAAGCCGGAAATGGGTCCTAGAGCTCGAAATCAACAAGAAAATGTGTTTAGTTAACTTTAGAAATTTTCAAAATTTTTCCGGTATTTGAAGAAATAATTTCACTTTTAAAAAAGTCGTCTAAAAATTGTGAAAAAATTCAGGGACGTAGATCTCGACACGCTGATTCCAAAAATACGTATTTTTACTAGAGATGTACCGACTGTAGGTCTGGCCGACTAACCGACTAACCGATTATTCGGCCAGTAAAAACCGACTAGTCAGCCGACTGTTCGGCTTTGCTAAAACCGGTTTATAAATGCGACAGACAGTGTGTTTTTTTTCTATTTCTCTGACTATCTTAAAAATTTGTTTTATTTTAATAAAAGGAATAACTAAAGTTCCTTCGTTTTCCAAAAAATGTGTTAAATTTGTTTGGATAATTTTAACATTTAATTTTTTTTTGTAACTCAGTACAAAAATAAAGAATAACACAATTTATGGCCATTTTATACAATATTTTAACTGAGATTAAGTTGATCGCGCATTTAACAAGGCCATTAGCGACGTCTCATTGGCGTAGAGTCGGTCACATGGTACTTTAACGCGGGGTTAAAAATTAAATCGCAATTAAATATTTAATTGAGGTTCCGTAAATTGCTTTATATACTTACTATTTTAATTTCAATAAAAAAAAGCCGACCGATCGGCTGTTTTGCCGACCAGTCGCCGATTGCCAGCCGACGATGAAAAACGGCCGAATAGTCGGCTTATCCGACCGTTCGGCCACTAGTCGGTACATCCCTAATTTTTACGAATAACGAATTCGTTTTTTCAGTATGCTAATTCGACAACCGGTACACACCATCATCGCGCCAAAAATAGCCATATGCAAGTATTACACTTCGGAACCACCATTATGTAACTTACTGGAACAACTCGAAATCATACTATTCAAAGTTCGCATCAGCATCGCTGCAAAATCAGCTTTATTATTGTGTACACAAATTAATTTCACAAGGATGTACCTCGTTAAAAAATGATGTAAGAGGTGAGCGTTCGCGTACGAGCGAACCATCACTATCCTAAGAAGAGACGACCGATGGTGGTTGAACGAAGTGAAAGAATCGGTAATGTACGCTATTCTCTATTCAACTTGTCGCTGGAGCTTTGTCCGCTGCCTATTCCAGATGCATTTCTTGCGTGTCCGGTGATATGAGTGCGAGCTGTGCACCGTGAAATTTTTGGATGCTTTGAAAATGGTAAGTGGAACTGAAAGCTTTTTGAAAAATTAAAAATATATACTAATATCAAGAATTCTGTCAATGTTTTTTTTTAAATTTTAAAAATTATATAGGTGTATATATTATAATAGATAATTGGATAACTGCATTTCATGCGTGAGATCTAAGCAACATTTTTTTAGATAAGTGCACCTTTGTTTCATTTCATTGAAATCCAGTCTGTAGATGTCTGTTGCATTACCCAATAAAGCATTGTTAGATACAAACCTTAGCGGGTGCTTCTTGTCAAAAGAAATATTTTTAAATTTTTTTCCGGAGTTCTTAAAGATTTTTGTTAAACGTTCATTGTTAAACATAAATGTTAACGTAAGTAGTTAGTAATTCGATTTTTTTTCCATCATTTACCGTTAGCTGCGCCATAAATATTACTTTTTATTCATTTACCGGCAAACAGTATAAATAAAACATAGATTTATTTGTACTGAACTGATGCAATGTATTCTTATATTTCTTTAACAACACATGGTACTCAATTTCTTTTAATCAATCAATATCAATCCATTAAAGAAAAAAATAAATGTAACAATCTACGCCTATGGCGCCATTTGATCGCTTCATAGTCATAAATTACTCGCCTGTCGTAATTCCAAAACAGTGCCATAGCATCGATTTCAGGAAACACACAGTATGACTTCCTCTTTTTTACAATAATTTATTAACGGAAATGACGCTCAAACGAACACTGGAAGAAAACCCATCACCGATTGCTTCCCGGTCATCCTAAGAAAGTTCATGATCTACGTAATTAGACTAACGCATTCAATTATATGAAGTTCCAAGTGAAAGGGCATTCACATTTCTCTTACACGTAAAAATTATGATTCAACTAGAGCAATGTCAGAATTGAAAGTGAAACAAAGGGGCGGATGTAGATGACCATAACAGTTTTTTATTAACGGTCAAGTCAATGCCAGATTGTAATGCACCAGTTCTCACGATTGGAATGCACCAGGTTGCAGTTTGCTTTATTGGAATTAATCAATAATATAGCGATTAAAACACATTTTGGTATTAAGGATTAAACTCGAAATGGCGATGTTTGGCGTTACTTCCGCCTTCGTCATAAATCGCACACAATCTTAAAACGGCAAAGTATTTTAATTGATTGCATAACACCTACTTAAGTGATCTCTTGATTAAATTGATCGATGGAACTTTGTTTTAAGACAGTACATAATTTTCAAGCGCGGTTACTTTCAAACAGGTAGACCTTGCCTTGCAGTTGATTCCTTTTTTTAAAGATTAATGCAACTATATCTGGGTCAATACCTCGCTAAGACAAACACGATGACATCAAATTAAGATCCTGTTAAAAAAAAACGGGTAGTAACGCAACGAGATGCGGTTACGACATGCTGCAATTTCGCTACATCATTGTGCAGTAAACCGTAATACGTGGAAATATTATCTGGAAGCGAAACGAATGATCTCTGTTTTTTTAAGAAATTTCACCTTCATTGAAGTATTTTTCTAATAATCAGCTAAATGTAACACCCGCACCTTTTCAAAAAGAAAGTTAGATAAAAGGTTTTAATTTCTAGGTTTTAAGTTAATCGCTTTCTCCCTCCCTCTTAGCAAACATAAGAATTATTTTTTGCATAATATTGGAAATGTCAATTGTTAATCAGGACAGATTTAACAGTGGTTCTACTACTGTGGTAGACACCGTTCATCCAAAAATTCATACTTAACGTAAATAAAATAATTTCTGGTGGTATTTCCATTCGAATAAATAATTAAACACACCTGACATTGTTTTAACTTTGCATTCTTGTCAGCCGTCATTGGTTTTCAACAAATTATTGGAGCTTGACTGTACATATTGCAAAGTCGAACAAGTTATGTATAGTCGTCCAACAGCTAAATCATAAAAATATTTTTAAAACATAGTACATTTAGAAAAATCTGCAGCTCTCAGGATATAGACATGATGCAACTGCACCTGTGTGTGCAAATCCGCTAATTAATCGATTTTTAATTAAACGGCTTTTCCTCTTGTGACAACGAAAATCCAACGTTTCGTAATCCATCTCGCGAGCATCAAGGTGATGCCAATTGATTTTAAAACATACAGTTACATAAACCCGGTGACAACTCGAGTGATTTGATTTTAATGGTATTGTGAAACATACTTAGGATTTTAGTAGGTATCGTCGCTTTGCTTTATTAACACTTCATACGGAAACTTGAGGGAGATACTTCCGAGAAAGTATGGTAAATGGGACACGCGTGAATTTGTTTATGAAATTATTTCGCAATACTACAGTCATGCAAATTTCCAAATGGGCACTATTATGACAGTTAAGTGACGTCATGCGTAAAATATCGCTAGGTTGAACACTGACCTTGCTCAACCTGCCCCACATATCAGAATTAATCTTTGCAGTGTATAATTTACTTAAAAAATGTGGTGAAGGGAATAATAGTTAAGTTTCTAATTTAAAGGCTAGTCGATCGCGTTATTATTTTTAAATGCGTATTCGTGAGTTTCTGTAATAAAACTTTGCGACTTTTTTCTTCGCACGAATGGTTTTGAGTAAAACGATAACACTATTCAGTGTTTGTTATTTATGACATATGAAAAGTGTATTGCGGATTTATCTTGCAAAATGAATCAGATTTCGTTGCATCAACATGACGTAATTATATTAGATGTTTGCTGTGTTTATTTTGCGCATTGTAAACCGCTACTATAAACTTTCAACGATCTGCACTAAGACGCATATCAGATGTCAAAGTTGAAACTATTCCTCCGGTCAACGTGATACTAATAATAAAATATTCTGATCCCGAGTGACTTTCTTTATTATTCGTATTTCGTTGAGTTTTATTGTTTGTAAACTTGTTTGGGCAACAATAGGTCAGCCACTTTTTTTGCGAAATATTAAATCTGAATCTGATTCTCACAAAAAATGGATTTTTAATGGAGATTAAAATGTGTGAATTTTAAAAAATGACATGGTGGAATCATTTTAGTGCGTTTAAATTAGTTTGCGCAAGCTAGATTTATGCAATGAACTTCCTACTTCAAAATAATGATCACTGATTAGTGGATTATTACGAAAAAGTTTATTTCCGATAAAAATTAACTAAATCTACTGTCTTTCAGTGTGTAGTTAGCCGATTGCGACAATTTTAGACCCAATGCCTCATTTAAATAGACAAGTCACGCTTTCACATTCTAATCTGTAGCAACAATTTTCTAGATCCTGCTTCAATGGATTCTGTTCTTCATACTGTTATACACACTCAATGCAACCCCCGTAAGCTACCAATACGTGAGATATCTACGAAATGGAAGAGTTAAATCTGAAACACCGCCACGAAGATCTAGAAGTTTCGGCTTCGCGACTAAAGAAGTACTTTCAGAGAGTCATTTCTGGAACAACGACGACATCGATCCCAACACGAATTCTCTAACTTTCGAGGAACATGGTGGCCACATCACGCCAGATTTTAGCAATGGTTTAGGTATAATGATTTGACTTTGCGACAGCGTATTACTTTTACATTTGTGCCTAGATTATCCTGACCCTCTTCTTCTGACTGGATCCGCAGCCAAAAGAGCAGTCGCTTATTTATACCGAAAACCTCTATTTTTCGAAGACATCAAGCACCTAGATGCCCTTTTACACAAACAAGATGAAAGAAGACGCAACGGTTTGTCGGGGAATAAGTTAGGGTCTCTAAGACCGCATCTGCCATTCTATAGGTTTAAAAAGAGTTTTTACAGCGGCTTTTTCTAGGTTTAGTAACTTATGTGTAAATAAAACAAACTATTAAGTATACTTAATAAAATTATTTTATGTACAAATGTTTATAATATCATCCTAGACGTCACTAGCGTACACAATAATAACACAGTAAAATTCACTGTCACAGTGGTTGAAGAGTTGCATAAGTCTCCTCTGCAAAAGCACATAAGAACTTTCCTGAAGTTCCACTTAACGTAAGCACATCTATCTTCACTGTCTGAAGGTCCTCTTTGGAGACACATCCGTTCAGTTGCCACCCCATACTCTAGTAATTTTTCACGATAATTTTATTCAGTGACATATTTCACAACTTACCTTCTTTAAGTGGATTTTCTGTCTCTAACATTTTCCCGCACCATCCTGACGCACACGGGACGGCTTCTATCCCTCGTTCCGATTCTATTTGTGTCACATTGAACGTAAACGGGTCTTTACAACTCCCCAATTCGCCTCTGGATCGACATACATAACACCGTCTGAGGATTCCTGCAAGAGGTCATCAGTATTCACCACACCCAACAGAAAACGATTTTCGGGCACTCACCGTTAGTCAGTTTTGGAGTTAATATTAAAAAAATGAAAGAAAGACTAAGCAAAAGTGACCTACACGAATCCATTTTACCTCAAACTTGTGGAAGACATTCCATTCGAGAACTTTCACTTCGCAACTGAAGAATGAAGACTGAATACCTTGACGCATGTGGGTAGATTATAGACAGTTGTGTTGGAATGTTTATTTAGTTGCATAAATACTTATACAAATTTCATCCATCGGTGACCGCGGCTCTCTGCGTCTTCTTCTTTAAGTTTTTGGTAGTCTTTGAAGTAGCGTTTTCTGCTGCAGGCAATAACAAGTCCGGCACAATAGCATGGTAAGGTTAACGACAAGACTAAACCTAAGTACATCATGTGACGGACGAATGCTGAAATTTTATTTTGATCTATCACCAAAAAAAAAAACAGTGTCAAAACCTTGTGTTAGAAGTCTGGACTTGGAGATGACGTAAACAATGATTTGTTGCATGCGGATGTCGTCGACTTGACACGTGTAATTTCCTTCTTCGGATTCTTCGACACCCACTAAATACAAAGTGTTAAAAGTGTCTACTATAATTCTGGGTTCATCTTCGCCATTAGGCGGAACTACGCTCTCTCCTGCTTCTAGGACTTTTCCGTTTTTCTTCCAAATAACTTTATTCTCGAGAGTGGATCTTTAAAGAAATATTCATTTTCGCAAAACAGTGATGACGTTCTTACTCTGGACAAACCAAAGTTAAGTGTGACTTTTCCGCCAAGACAAACGTTTTGCGATACTTAAATGCGGCCGTTTTCCCGGTTTTCCAGCCTTTGTTGAGGCCTTCAGCATCTAAAGAACAAGAGTTTTAAGAGATGGGAAGATTGCACGAAATAGCGAGTACCAGGATTACACGTTCCGTCGCAAGATTGGATCTGGATGAAGTTTGGGATGATTCGGGTTAAATTACTAATTCCTGGGAACAGTCGGCCTAAAATTTGGGAGCGGCAAGCGATTTCGTTTGCATTTTTCAGGAATCTTTCGTCTGAATTCTGACTCGAAGACGATGACTAAAGAAATGCATTATTTAGTTGATAGAAGAAGCCGGATTTCTACATCGATCTACTTTGTTAAAATTTGTATAATTTAGCATACGTACAATTAATTACTTATCTTCTACTTATTGTTACGATGATCGGTGATTGAAAATCGATGTGGGTAAACTCAACAATTTATTTCTTACTAACTTAAATTTACACCACTAACTGCACAGCGATTATATACAAAATAATTCTAGTGCAACTTGGCTGGATTCTGTCTTGACTGAACTGGTTGAACTATAATCGTTCCCGAAGGTGGCCTCTATTTAAAGCTATACTTCCCTCCTAGTAGTTCAGCACCTGTGACAATACGGTACCTATTCCGATGTTGCTTGCGTCCGTGTCCAAGATGGACATTCCCGATGATCGAGGATAGGACAGAATAGGACTAGAGCATAGTGCGTTCGTCAATCGTTTAAAGGCTGCTTCACATTCAGCAGTCCAATTAAACTGAGATTTCAAATCCGTCAGCCGGTACAGAGGAGTAGCAATATTGGCAAACCCGTTGACAAACCTTCTGTGATACGTGCACAATCCCAGAAACTCCGGACTTCGTGTTTATCTCTTGGTCTTCTACTTCTTTTTGGAAGAGGAGGCACTTCTTCGGATTCAACTTCAAATTTGCCTCCTTCATTCGACTAAATACTTCTTCCAATATCTGTTTCTATCTTCTTCGGATAGAGTTTGAAGTATCTCTAGGGCTGTGCCTCGCAAAGCTATTATCAATGCTGTCGCTTTTTGCTCTACAATATTTTCCATATTTTCCAAATTTCTTTTTACGTCCTTCACTTCTTCTTTGATTTCTTCTATTTCATTCTTGTTTGCTTCCACTTCCTTTTGGAATTTTTCAGTCAGGCTAATGTGCTTATCTATTTTTTCGTCCATCTTTTCCATTCTTGCACCCATTTTCTCGTTCATTTCCTTGTTTCTTGCTTCCATTTTTTCGATTCTTGTGCCCATTTCTTCTTTCATTTCTTTATTGCTCGCGCCCATTTTATCCATTCCTGCGCCTCTTTCTTTTTTCATTTCTACAAGCGTAGCCATCATCTGCTTTACTTGTTCCTCCATTTTTTCGGCTTGAGCTTTAGTCTCAACAGGCATCAATCTTCAGAATTCTTGTCCAGTTTGCCCGTAATTCGTCGTAAAACCACTTATTATCAATTTCAAATCTCACTTCCGACAGCAGTGTCACGTTGAACGGGTGATTAAAATCGGCGTGGGTAAAACTCAACAATCTATTTCTTAATAACCAGAGTCCGGAATTTTATGCATGAAATGTGGCCAAAATATATGCAGAAAAAATAAGAAAATATGTTTTAATTTTACGAAAATATGCAAAATTTTTACAAAAATATGCACACATTTTGTACTTTTTTTATTGAACATACAATAAATTGGTAATGTATCCACAAATCTAATAAGTTTAATTTAAAACAATATTGTGCCATATTTTAAAAACTTTATTTTACAAAAAAAACACAACTAAATAACAAATATTTGTAAAGAAAAACGAGTACAATGATACATCAAAAAACACTGAAATATCTGCATTAATGTTATAACTTGCAACTATATGTTTTTCAATGTTTTCAATTAAAAAATTTTCAGACAAAATTTGTTTATAGACAGAGAAAATCCCCTCTACATCCACTGATGTAATGGGTGCATACTTAGGAGCGCTAATTAAATTTGGTTCTATGTTAACCTCGCTACTAGAATCTCCATTATGTATTTTAGCTACCTTTGATAACATAATATAACCTTGATTCTTTTCTAGTACTTCCTTAAACTTTTTATTTATAAGTTGTTCTATTTTTCCCTTTACTTTTTTAATGCTTGTTTGGAATTATATTATATTCAACAGAAATAAAATCGTTAGAATGAGAACGGCGCCGGTGGGCGGGGCTAGTATCTGCTAAGATAGAACTCTGTAGGAAAAAGTTAAACTTAACAGCTGCTAAGACTGATTTTGACAAATGTGATCCCTCTAATAAAATAGAAGGTGGGTGGGCAGGGTTAGTACCTGCTAAAATAAGACCGATTTTGGCAAATGAGATAGCTCTAATAAAAGAGAGGGTGGGTGGGCGCGGCTAGTACCTTTTAAAATAAGATCGATTTTGGTAAATGTAACTTCCGTTTTTCCAGAATCACCAATTGAAATGTGGCAACTTTTAGGATTATTAAAAAAAAAATTCAAACCGAAAATTTCTAAAATCTCGTTCCAGTGTTATAAACACGCTACATTTTTCCAGTTGGTATGTCAAAATGTATATCTCAGAATTGTTTGGGATTTTTAAGCAACTTTTTCAAAAACTCAATTTTTCAATACACCTCATCTTGAAATTTCGATTGTTTTTGACAATTTTCGAAGTTTAATCAAATACATTGCCCTGTAGATTTCCACCTTTAGAAGTTAAAAACGCCGATACGTGCAATAAAAAGTTCGCGTTATGCTTTGAAAATCTAAAAACTGTCAAAATATGTGAAAATATTGCAAAAGATACGAAAATATGTGAAAAATCTTGATATCATGCAAAATATGCAAAATTTAGTCTGCGTCAGTCACTTCTTATTTACCTAATTCGCCTAGATCCGAAAGCATTTAGTTGTAATATGAACAATCATCAATATGCAAATTTCATAAATTCTTCTCTATTAATAACTCGAATTAACACGACTAACTATTACAGCGATTATGTACAAAATAATTCCGGCGCAACTTGACTGGACTCTCTTCACTGAATAATAATCGTTCCCAAACGATGGTCTGTATTTAAACCCATACTTCCTTCAAGATGTGCGGCGATCGGGATCTTTCTGGACTGCCGTTCGCGATTTCCGCTTCCAGGCTTTTCTTTAGCGATCCGCCGCTCGATCGGTCATCATCGGCGTACAGACCAGAAAGCTCTCGACGGCCCATAGGCGTCGTGCCGGGGCGGCGTATGGGTTTATTTCGAAATGGTTACCTACCTTATGTGTCATTTTTATTCGGCAAAACCCTGTTTTTTTCCTAACGCCCTCGTTCTTGGGTCTTCCGCAAACCTCACAAATGCCCCAAGGACCCCACTGGGTCACAATTTCCATTTCAATTTTCATTTCCTCACGAACATTTTTAAATTCTGTCCCTTCAGAATGAGAAAATAAAGAATTAACTGGTACAAAATAAACTTCATAATACTTTCTCCACCCTGAAAAATTCCCCGTTTCCATGTTGGTAACATTATCTTCATTGTAGACAACTAAAATATGAATTTATTTTATTTAAAGGAATACAAATAAATAATAAAAGTGATAAATTGTTGGCCATCGTGAGACTAGAAACTTACGATCAACCAAGTAGTTATATTTTTCACTTTCCTCTCCTTCGTAGTATTGACAGTAATACAGCCCCGTGTCATTTTTACTAAAGTTGTTAACAGTCAAACTGTGTTCGATATTTACTTCGACTCTGTTTTCTGTGGAGTTATTATTCATGTCTAAAATAACTTCGTGGGGTTCTGGGTTCCCGATATCGTCAACTTTGTACCAGACTTTGGGTCTTCCATCGTCATTTTCATCGCTGCATTCGTGTTTATTATTTGAGAAAGTTTTATAATGTTTTTCTTAATTCGACTTTTCCATACCAGTAATGACATTGCAAAGTTAATTTTTGGCCATGCGTAGCATCAACTAAAGTGTAGAGATCGCCTTTTTGGTTTTCGATTAGGCGATCTCTGTCTCTGCAGTTCCGATGAATTTCGTTCACAGCACAAACAGCGTTTAACAGGAACAAGAAAAGAAACATTCTTATCATGATTATCTTGGTTTGATAAATATGCACGCTAGGAAGGTTGAATTAATTAGTCTGTCAATTGTGTCAGTTCAAATCAGTAATAAATAAACGACTAAATCTTATCCTTATTTTTTGAGCTATGTAATTCTTGACATCATTTTTCCAATTTAAAATCGGCATAGATAGCGCGCCAGTTTTTAAAAGACGCGAACCTTTAAGTTTTAGTGATTACAATCCTGCATCTTAATCACAAAAAAAAACTATTAGTCATTTCTAAAAGCATGCGCACTACTCTACGTTCCAGCTGACTTGACAGCTAAAATGTGACACGACTCGCGAAACAAAAATAAACAATTAAAAATTAAAAAAAATGGGTGTATCCCCAGTGATACCGTATTTGCACCTGATCGTGTTGTCTCTACTCTTCATTACGTGTCAAAGTGTGGAAAATCAAAATCTAACTATACCGACAGCCCCCGTTCTCAACGTCACCAATGTGGCTTCAGAAGGAGGCACGATTGCTCTTCCATCAAACGACACAACTCATTTGGGGCGTGAGCACATGATTAAGGTTAGCCACAACGAAACCCATGTGGACGCTGAACACATGATTAAAGTGAACCATACGGAAGCTGTGATCAAGTTACCCCCCTATGAAGTGGGTCAGAAAAATGACAACAAGACAAGCGTACCTAAGAAAGACGCTATTTTGACGAGTAGTCACGTGAATAATGTAACAGCAAGCACAAGTAGTGTTACCACTACGACTCCAGTGCCTCACAAGCCGTCGATAACGATCGGGGAGGATGAGGAGCCGCCAAACTCCAACGCAAAACCCCAATCAAATGATACCCAGAAGCACGGAATTAGTATAGAGTCGGTGACGCAGAAGAGCAAGAAAACTGACTATGTGGTGCCTATTGTCGCAGTAATTATGTCTGTCCCTTTGGTAGCTATTGTTTTTTCCGTTTTATATAAACGAGGGGCGGATTGGTGGCAGCATAGGCACTATAGGCGCATGGACTTTCTCATCGAGGGGATGTATAATAATTAATTGTTTTCCAAAGATTATAGGAACTGCTCGCTTTCAAGTATTATCTTATCATAGCTGTAAATACCTACTGTGCCTTAAAGATGCAATAATTTTGTGATACTCTCAGATAATAATTTGTTGATTCTGTGTATTTTTCTACTGAATAAAAAGTGTAGAACGAAGTATAACCACACTTTATTTTATGTAACTTGACATAACCTAACTTTTCGCGTTATGAGACTCCAGTTTTTGTGTTTACCCTATTTCAGCAAAAACAACAAATGCCGGACAAATACGTTTTAGTCGAACATTCCAGTGCAATCAACACCATCATTCACAACACGTTTCAAACAACCCAAAGAATTAAAGTAAAGTGAGGTTATGTCCTTTTTCCTTCTAATTTAATTTTTTTCTAGTTTACAACGTTCGATGTTTCGCCTAAATACATCGTTTTTGGGGCAAACAGCGGTGGAATTTACATCTTCACCCGGGATCCGTGTCAGTTTCACAAACTAATTCCCAGTACTGTAAGATTTCACCCAGATAAAAATAGCCCCCATTTAACAAACAGTTCCAGCATGGCGCCACAAACCTCGTCCACATCTCACCCAACCAAGAAAACCTCGCGATAGCAGTATCCACAGGCCTTGTCATTCTTCTAGAAGACTGCTTTAACCCCAATTTTGAACAACAAGTTTTCACGGAACATGAAGGCCACACCGTCACTGCCATGCGATGGAACGGAAACGACTTATATTGTGGGGACTCAGCGGGTGTAATTTCTGTAATCACATTGAAAAGTTTTTTGGTAAAGGCGTAATTTTCATTTTTAAACTATTCATAGTAAGATTTCAGACCAAAGCCATGTTTCAAACACCAGTAGCGGTCCTGATGCATTTAGATTCCCAAATCGTGCAATTAGACACTCATTCGAAATTTCTCTTAGTGTCGACGCAGACGCGTTCATTGCTGTGTGACACCGAAAGCGAGAGGTACAGACAAATTGGGAAAAAAATGAGAGATGGGTTGTTGGGGGCTTGTTTTCTCAACTGTGGGGAATTATTGGATGTCAATAGTACGTCTCGCGTTTGGGGGACGTTCCAGACCGTGAGCGACAACGAACAACTACCCCATTTTGCCAACAATACAAACGTGAAAATTTATTGCGCACGACCGGGGGCGCGACTATGGCAGGCGGATTTTCAAGGAAACGTGGTTGTTACGCATCAATTTCGGGCGACTTTGACACAAAAACACAGCGATATAATTAAATGGGGCGATGAAGACAAGCTGAAACTTCTATCATTTGAGCAAAAAACAATGGAGGAGGGTTTTAATTTTGGCAAAATTTTTTCAGTTCTTGATCAATTTATCCTTTCATTTAACGACAACGGGATTTATATTTTTGACCCCTGCTCGAGCGGTTTGCTCCACTGGACTACCCACTTACATAGAATAAAAGATATTAAAATAGTTAACAACTTTTTGTACGTTTGGCACAATGATTTGGAACTCAGTGTGCTAAGTTTGTTCACTATTGAAGAGTTGGTTTTGAGAAGTTTAATTAGAAAGAAATATACACTGTGTGGAGAGTTGTGTACACAATTTTTTGACGAAATTCAAAATTTGGTTACTAGTTCCCGCAAAATCCACTTAATTTCGGCGCTGGAGAGTAAATTACACAGTTCGGAAATGTTAGAAAAGTTGGCACCGATTTTCGCACGTTTGAAAGAGTGCGCAAGAACACTCAGTCTAGACAAGTTTAAAAACGGGATGGTCACAGTCAACGCGTTACCAATTTTGCCAGAATCCGTTCAGAATTTCGAAACTGAAGAAGAACAAAAACCAGCGCAAGAATCACTCACTATATTATCTGAACAATTTAAAATAAGTCAAATTGAAAAAAACGTGGAAACGACGGATTTTCTTCAGTTATTGGAACGTTTAAACCCCGACAGTTTATACGAACTTATTGGAAAGTTCCAAGCGGAAACTAAAGACGAAAATTGTGACCCCTGGTGTAAAGAAATATTTTTAAATAACATGAAAAGCGTAAATTGTTCTCCACAAGTGTTAGACTACGCGTGTCAAGCATTCCTCCAAATCAATCACCATGAAAATTTGGTTTGCAAATGTAACTTTCCTCTACCCGTTGCTCATCAAACTATACCCAAGTGTTGCGAAATGGGGTTAAAATTAATGAAAAAAACTCAATCGTACGACCTTTTTCTTAAACAAGTACCCTACATGAACACGTTTGTTTTAAAAAACTTGGAACCCGAAACCATTCCATCGAAAATCCCCCTAATGATACAATTCAGCGATCCAGAAATCATCGAAATCCATTCTACTAAAATCACTTACGACGTCTGGGACGAATCAATCAAACTCCTGTTAAAACTAAAAACCGGTCAATGTTTGAACTGCAATTCAAGCATCGACACAACCGCATCTTTTGACTGGACGGATTTCGGAACTTTAATGATCTGCTCAATCAACTCCACCAATGCCATTAAATTATTAAAACGTTACTCCAATTTACTGCCTAAAGGTGAACTCGACCAATTTTTTTATCAGTATTGTATTTTATCGGCCGTTGTTGATACCAGAATTTTGAACGTGAAACAATTTTGTTGTGATCAGGATGTGACGAGAGAGGTTTGTGGATTAGTGTGATGAGATTAAGACGTGATTTGGTTATTTTTAGGTTGATACGTCCGTGGGTGAGTTTTTACGCAAGAAATATCTGCGTGGAAGCGATTATTATGAGCCACCCAGTCATAATTCTGTCCAAGTGGGAAACTGTGATCACTGCCATTTGCCTTTAAAAATCCCAGTATTTGAAGAGGTGCGAAAATTGACTTGTGGGCATAAGTACCACAAAGTATGTTTTTTATACACGAAGGGACGGTGCGCCCTTTGTGGACCCATTTCGTAGTATATAGTTTAAATAAATAAATTTGAATGATAAACGTCTTGATTAATTTTTGAAATAGTGTTTTTGTTGTTATGTGGTTGGCACACCTATCTGGTCATTATGAAAGTAATGTCATGGCAGACTAAGTGTCAAAATAACAGTAAACTTTGTGTTCGTGTGGTTAATTTGCGTCTTTCTTTATAAAGTTGTGGTTCGTTCGGTGATGTGTGAATGTGTTTGAAACCAAATTAAAAATAAAATCCAATGTGGAGTAGTTTGTGACAAAGGCAATGATGGAGTTGTCAATTGAAACACCAGATGCCTTTGCCACTTTTAGAAGACAAAAAACCAACCCGTTGTGCCCCCCTTCAACTTCTTGCCAATTAGCAGTTGATAACGACATCATCGACTCATCTCAGTTGATTTTCAGCGATGACGAAATTTGGTAAGTTTGACGTGAATCATTGGGCCTCGTTCAAACTTGTCAATTATCAGTTGATAACAAAGACCAAAATCATAAACATTTTACGTGATTTTTTTGTAGGTTGTGTGAATGCTCGAGCCCCTCTGACACTAACCTTCAGACATTTCTGTACAACCTTGAGGAAGAGTTTCCTATCGTTCCGAAACTTTCTCCCAAAAACATAGATACGCGAACGTTTACTCGTCCCAAAAAGCGCTTTACCCGACCCAGTATTGAAAAATACAATGAAGAACTGTACAGCAGTGATGTAAAAGAGTTGACTGACAGTGGCATCCAGCTCAATGGAGGTTCGCAGGACGATTCCCCCACGAAACCGTTACATTTTGATTTGGGGCAAACTACGTCTAGTGTTTATTTTGAAAATATTCTAGCCAATGCACCCATGATGGATTCATTCCAAAATATGTCGCCCCCGAGTCTGGTTAATTCAATGTGTTCATCAACGTTTGCCACTTTGATGGAGAGTAGTTTTATTAAGAATGATCCGGTGTTGAGGGAGATTCGGGATACGGATTATACGGGATCTATTTTGCAGCAAGAGTCAGAGCCAATGTTTCAGTCCATTACAGAAAGCTACAGTAGTTTGAATTCAGACGTTCCAGAACATTTTTTGAAGAAGGTGTCGTTTACTGAGAAGAATGAGGATGCAGATGTTACAGTCGTGGTTAATACAACGTTTGCGAGGGAGGACGATTTGTCATGCAACAGTAAGTTGTGGGGTAGAAGGGTGAAAGTGGGGTCCGTCTCCTGTGGCTATTTTTGTTTGACACACAGTGTCTGAAACTACCAAAATCTGTCTAATCATCCCTACTAATAATTTGATGACGTCATCTCAAAGTTTTGCTTAGTAGAGACCGTGTGTTTACAAATAAACACAGTGAGTCATCATCATTATCTGATAAGTAGAATTCCACCAGTGGCGGAACAGAGAGTTTAGTAAAGAGGGGTCGTGCGTGCACGATTTTAAAAATTTTGTTTAGATTTGCTGCGTATCTTTATTTTAAATTAAATATTGTTATTAATATTTTTTCTATATTTTATTAACCTATAAAATATGAAAAATTTCTGAATTTATCAATCGCAAGTATACCACACTTTTATAAGCAAGCAATAGCTAAATAACAAAACTGAAGAATCGGGAAACTGAAAAATTGAAAAGTCGAAAAATTGAAAATTTGAAAAAAACAGAAAACAAAAAATCGAAAAATTCTAAAATCTAGAAATTAAAAACCCGAAAAGTGAAAAAACAAAAAGTTGAGGAATTCAAAAATTAATAAACCGAAGAATTCAAAATTGATAAACTGATAAATTGAAAAAAACGAAAAATAGATATCTAACTAGAAAACGTAAAATCCAAAATTTGAAAATGAAAGGTTAAAATATCGAAGAATTGAAGCATCGAGAAATTCTAGAATCTAAAAATTAAAAGATCGAAACATTGAAAACCCGAAAAATTAAATATTGAAAAAGTGTAAAATAAATTAAAAATCTAAAAATTAAGGAAATGAAATATATGTATTGTAAAATTCAAAAATTAAAAAGCTGAAAATTCTAATAAACAAAAAATTAAAGTACCAGGAAAGTGTGAAAGCAAACAATTTAAAAACGAAAAATAAAGGATCGAAAAAAATCAAAAAATTATAAAATATAAAAATTAAAATTGGAAAAATAAGTAAAGAAAAAATTGAAAAATTGGGAAATTCAAGAATTAAAAAATCGAAACCCTCTAATAAAACAAAGGGTGGGTAGGAGGATCTAGTGTTTGCTAAGATAAGACTGATTGTGACAAACGACATAGCCTCTAAAAAAATAGAGGGCGGAGGGGCGGGGCTAGCACCTGTTAAGATAAGATCGATTTTGGTAAATGACATATCTTCTAAAAAAAAACAAGGGTGGGTGGGCGGGGCTAAGTTTAATTTTTTCATACAAAATCTTTTATAAGCAAGCAATAGTCCCGCCCACCCGCCCACTCTATAAATAACAAAACTGACGAATCGAGAAACTGAAAAATTGCAATGTCGAAAATTTGAAAAAAAGGAAAACAAAAAATCAAAAAGTTCTAAAATCTAGAAATTAAAAACCCGAAAAGTCACAAAACAAAAAGGTGAAGAATTCAAAATTGATAAACTGAAAAACTGAATAACGAAAAATTTAGAAGTCTAACTAGAAAACATAAAATCCAAAATTTGAAAATAAAAAATTGAAGCATCGAACAATTATCGAAAACTTATCAATCGAAGGAACTAAACATGAAATAATTAAAACATTATAAAATTAAAAGATCGAAATATTAAAAACCCGAAAAATTAAATCTTGAAAAATTGTAAAACAAATTAAAAATCAAAAAATTAAGGAAATGAAATATATGTATTGTAAAATTAAAAAATTAAAAATTGAAAAACGAAAAATTGTTAAATATAAAAATTAAAAATGGAAAAATGAGTAAACAAAAAATTGAAAAGTTCAAGAATTAAAAAATCGAAACTCTCTAATAAAAAAAGGGTGGGTAGGAGGATCTAGTGCTTGCTAAGATAAGACTGATTGTGGCAAATGACTGGCCTCTAAAAAAATAGAGGGCGGGTGGGCGGGCGGGGCTAGTACTTGTTAAGATAAGATCGATTTTGGTAAATGACATATCTTCTAAGAAAAACAACGGTGGGTGGGCGGGGCAAAATTTAATTTTTTCATACAAAATCTTTTATAAGCAAGCAATAGTCCCGCCCACCCGCCCACTCTATAAATAACAAAACTGACGAATCGAGAAACTGAAAAATTGCAATGTCGAAAATTTGAAAAAAAGGAAAACAAAAAATCAAAAAGTTCTAAAATCTAGAAATTAAAAACCCGAAAAGTCACAAAACAAAAAGGTGAAGAATTCAAAATTGATAAACTGAAAAACTGAATAACGAAAAATTTAGAAGTCTAACTAGAAAACATAAAATCCAAAATTTGAAAATAAAAAATTGAAGCATCGAACAATTCTAGAATCGAAAACTTATCAATCGAAGGAACTAAACATGAAATAATTAAAACATTATAAAATTAAAAGATCGAAATATTAAAAACCCGAAAAATTAAATCTTGAAAAATTGTAAAACAAATTAAAAATCAAAAAATTAAGGAAATGAAATATATGTATTGTAAAATTAAAAAATTAAAAATTGAAAAACGAAAAATTGTTAAATATAAAAATTAAAAATGGAAAAATGAGTAAACAAAAAATTGAAAAGTTCAAGAATTAAAAAATCGAAACTCTCTAATAAAAAAAGGGTGGGTAGGAGGATCTAGTGCTTGCTAAGATAAGACTGATTGTGGCAAATGACTGGCCTCTAAAAAAATAGAGGGCGGGTGGGCGGGCGGGGCTAGTACTTGTTAAGATAAGATCGATTTTGGTAAATGACATATCTTCTAAGAAAAACAACGGTGGGTGGGCGGGGCAAAATTTAATTTTTTCATACAAAATCTTTTATAAGCAAGCAATAGTCCCGCCCACTCTATAAATAACAAAACTGACGAATCGAGAAACTGAAAAATTGCAATGTCGAAAATTTGAAAAAAAGGAAAACAAAAAATCAAAAAGTTCTAAAATCTAGAAATTAAAAACCCGAAAAGTCACAAAACAAAAAGGTGAAGAATTCAAAATTGATAAACTGAAAAACTGAATAACGAAAAATTTAGAAGTCTAACTAGAAAACATAAAATCCAAAATTTGAAAATAAAAAATTGAAGTATCGAACAATTCTAGAATCGAAAACTTATCAATCGAAGGAACTAAACATGAAATAATCAAAACATTATAAAATTAAAAGATCGAAATATTAAAAACCCGAAAAATTAAATCTTGAAAAATTGTAAAACAAATTAAAAATCAAAAAATTAAGGAAATGAAATATATGTATTGTAAAATAAAAAAATTAAAAATTGAAAAACGAAAAATTGTTAAATATAAAAATTAAAAATGGAAAAATGAGTAAACAAAAAATTGAAAAGTTCAAGAATTAAAAAATCGAAACTCTCTAATAAAAAAAGGGTGGGTAGGAGGATCTAGTGCTTGCTAAGATAAGACTGATTGTGGCAAATGACATAGCCTCTAAAAAAATAGAGGGCGGGTGGGCGGGCGGGGCTAGTACTTGTTAAGATAAGATCGATTTTGGTAAATGACATATCTTCTAAGAAAAACAACGGTGGGTGGGCGGGGCAAAATTTAATTTTTTCATACAAAATCTTTTATAAGCAAGCAATAGCCCCACCCACCCACCCCTTCTATAAATAACCAAACTGAAGAATCGGGAAACTGAAAAATTGAAAAGTCGAAAAATCGAAAATTTGAAAAAAAAAACAAAAAATCGAAAAATTCTAAAATCTATAAATTTAAAACTCGAGAAGTGAGAAAACAAAAGGTGAAGAATTCAAAATTGATACACTGAAAAATTGAAAAAACGAAAAATTTAGATGTCTAACTAGAAAACAAAATCCAAAATTTGAAAATAAAAAGTTAAAATATCGAAAAATTCTAGAATCGAAAACATAAATCGAAGGAACTAAAGATTGAATAATCAAAACATTAGAAAATTAAAAATCTAAAAATTAAGGAAATGAAATATATGGATTGTAAAATTCAAAAATTAAAAAGCTGAAATTCTAATAAACAAAAAATTAAAGTACCAGGAAAGTGTGAAAGCAAAAAATTGAAAAACGAAAAATAAAGGATCGAAAAATCAAAAAATTATAAAATATAAAAATTAAAAATGGAAAAATAAGTAAACAAAAAATTGAAAAATTAAAAAGTTGAAGAATTAAAAAATCGAAACCCTCTAATAAAACAAAGGGTGGGTGGGAGGATCTAGTGCTTGCTAAGATAAGACTGAATGTGACAAACGACATAACCTCTAAAAAAATAGAGGGCGGGTGGGCGGGGCTAGCACTTGTTAAGATAAAATCGATTTTGGTAAATGACATATCTTCTAAGAAAAACAAGGGTGGGTGGGCGGGGCTAAGTTTAATTTTTTCATACAAAATCTTTTATAAGCGAGCAATAGCCCCGCCCACCCACCCCTTCTATAAATAACAAAACTAAAGAATCGGGAAACTGAAAAATTGAAATGTCGAAAAATCGAAAATTTGAAAAAGAGAGAAAACAAAAAATCGAAGAATTCTAAAATCTTGAAATTAAAAACCCGAAAAGTGAGAAAACAAAAAGGTGAAGAATTCAAAATTGATAAACTGAAAAATTGAAAAAACGAAAAATTTAGATGTATAACTAGAAAACATAAAATCCAAAATTTGAAAATAAAAAGTTAAAATATCGAAAAATTGAAGCACCAAAAAATTCTAGAATCTAAAACTTATAAATCGAAGGAACAAAAGATGGAATAATCAAAACATTAGAAAATTAAAAATCTAAAAATTAAGGAAATGAAATATATGTATTGTAAAATTCAAAAATTAAAAAGCTGAAAATTCTAATAAACGAAAAATTGAAGTACCAGGAAAATGTGAAAGCAAAAAATTGAAAAACGAAAAATAAAGGATCGAAAAATCAAAAATCAAAGGATTATAAAATATAAAAATTAAAAATGGAAAAATAAGTAAACTAAAAATTGAAAAATTGGAAAGTTCAAGAATGAAAAAATCGAAACCCTCTAATAAAACAAAGGATGGGTACGAGGATCTAGTGCTTGCTAAGATAAGACTGATTGTGACAAACGACATAGCCTCTAAAAAATAGAGGGCGGGTGGGCGGGGCTAGCACTTGTTAAGATAAGATCGATTTTGGTAAATGACATATCTTCTATGAAAAACAAGGGTGGGTGGGCGGGGCTAAATTTAATTTTTTCATACAAAATCAATAGCCCCGCCCACCCACCCCCTCTATAAATAACAAAACTGAAGAATCGAGAAACTGAAAAATTGAAAAGTCGAAAAATCGAAAATTTGAAAAAAAGAGAAAACAAAAAATCGAAAAATTCTAAAATCTAGAAATTAAAAACCCGAAAAGTGAGAAAACAAAAAGTTGAAGAATTCCAAAATTAATAAGCCGAAGAATTCAAAACTGATAAACTGAAAAATTGAAAAAACGAAAAATTTAGATATCTAACTAGAAAACATAAAATCCATAATTTGAAAATAGGAAGTTAAATGTCGAAAAATTGAAGCATCGAAAAATTCTAGAATCTAAAAATTAAAAAACGAAGAAACTAAAGATAAAACATTAGAAAATTAAAAAATCGAAACATTAAAAACCCAAAAAATTAAATATTGAAAAAGTGTAAAATAAATTAAAAATCTAAAAATTAAGGAAATGAAATATGTATGTGTATTGTAAAATTCAAAAATTAAAAAGCTGAAAATTCTAAGAAACAAAAGATTAAATAAAGTACCAGGAAAGTGAAAGCAAAAAATTGAAAAACGAAAAATTAAAACATCAAAAAATTGTAAAATATAAAAATTAAAAATGGAAAAATGAGTAAACAAAAAATTGAAAAATTGGAAAGTTCAAAAATTAAAAAATAATAAAACAAAGGGTGGGTAGGAGGATCTAGTGCTTGCTAAGATAAGACTGATTGTGACAAACGACATAGCCTCTAAAAGAAAATAGAAGGTGGGTGGGCGGGACTAGCACTTGTTAAGATAAGATCGATTTTGGTAAATGACATTCCTTCTAAGAAAAACAAGGGTGGGCGGGCGGGGCAAAGTTTAATTTTTTCATACAAAATCTTTTATAAGCCAGCAATAGCCCCGCCCACCCACCCCCTCTATAAATAACAAAACTGAAGAATCGGGAAACTGAAAAATTGAAAAGTCGAAAAATCGAAAATTTGAAAAAAACAGAAAACAAAAAATCGAAAAATTCTAAAATCTAGAAATTAAAAACCCGGAAAGTGAGAAAACAAAAAGGTGAAGAATTCAAAATTGAAAACTGAAAAACTGAAAAAACGAAAAATTTAGATGTCAAAGTAGAAAACATAAAATCCAAAATTTGAAAATAAAAAGTTAAAATATCGAAAAATTGAAGCATCGAAAAATTCTAGAATCTAAAACTATAAATCGAAGGAACCAACGATGGAATAATCAAAACATTAGAAAATTAAAAATCTAAAAATTAAGGAAATGAAATATATGTATTGTAAAATTCAAAAATTAAAAAGCTGAAAATTCTAATAAACGAAAAATTAAAGTACCAGAAAAGTGTGAAAGCAAAAAATTGAAAAACGAAAAATAAAAGATCGAAAAATTAAAAAATCAAAAAATTATAAAATATAAAAATTAAAAATGGAAAAATAAGTAAACAAAAAATTGAAAAATTGGAAAGTTCAAGAATTAAAAAAATCGAAACCCTCTAATAAAACAAAGGGTGGGTAGGAGGATCTAGTGCTTGCTACGATAAGACTGATGGTGACAAACGACATAGCCTCTAAAAAACTAGAGGGCGGGTGGGCGGGGCTAGCACTTGTTAAGACAAGATCGATTTTGATAAATGACATATCTTCTAAGAAAAACAAGGGTGGGTGGGCGGGGCTAAGTTTAATTTTTTCATACAAAATCTTTTATAAGCAAGTAATAGCCCCGCCCACCCACCCCCTCTATAAATAACAAAACTGAAGAATCGAGAAACTGAAAAATTGAAAAGTCGAAAAATCGAAAATTTGAAAAAAAGAGAAAACAAAAAATCGAAAAATTCTAAAATCTAGAAATTAAAAACCCGGAAAGTGAGAAAACAAAAAGGTGAAGAATTCAAAATTGAAAACTGAAAAATTGAAAAAACGAAAAATTTAGATGTCAAAGTAGATAACATAAAATCCAAAATTTGAAAATAAAAAGTTAAAATATCGAAAAATTGAAGCATCGAAAAATTAAATATTGAAAAAGTGTAAAACAAATTAAAAATATAAAAATTAAGGAAATGAAATATACAGGGTGTTATTGAAAGGTACGTACAACAAAACTGACAGTTCTTCGGGAAGTCTAAGAAGTCTGAAAAACTTATTTTGTGTTATCAAAATTATAAGGGGAAAATTAACCCTTATCCAAACTTGTTAGACGCTACTGACGGATAAATAGGTAAAATTAATTTATTTTAGTAAATCCTAGCAACTGTAACAATAATAAAAAAATGAGAGACCCTTTTGTTGCTATAGAAACGAACGATGACCTTTTCATCAGAGGCGTACAACGAATTTGGACATAAATTTTAATAATTTTTATCTCTAAAAGGAGAATACTTTTATCTAAACTTTTTTTTACTTTTAGCACCCATACTTCGAGACCAATTACCGATTTTATTTTGTACGTACCTTTCAATAACACGCTGTATGTATTGTAAAATTCAAAAATTAAAAATAAAAAAGCTGAAAATTCTAATAAACAAAAAATTAAAGTATCAGGAAAGTGTGAAAGCAAAAAATTGGAAAACGACAAATTGTTAATATTAAAAATGGAAAAATGAGTAAACAAAAAAATTGAAAAATTGAAAAGTTCAAGAATTAAAAATCGAAACCCTCTAATAAAACAAAGGGTGGGTAGTAAGATCTAGTACCTGCTAAGATAAGACTGATTGTGGCAAAAGACATAATAGCCTCTAAGAAAATGGGGGGGGTGGGGTGGGCGGGGCTAGTAGTTCTTATTTCTGAAAAATGAGAGAAAACATGTGGTTGGGCGGGGCTAAGTTTAACTTTCTCCTACAGAATCTTCTATAAGCAAGCAATAGCCACGCCCACCCGCCTCCTTTTGATTCCTGTGATTACTCTTAATATTATTCAGTCATTTAGCAAAATCAATCTTATTTTAATAAATACATAGACATTATTTAAGTATGTATAACTTAATTTAAACGTTTTGCAAATTATTGCGTATTCTTTATAGAAACCATGGTACTCGACGATCTCCAAGACGAAGACTTCCAAGACGCTAAAGCAACGAGTTACGAGAATCTGAATAGCACATATCCGCGCAACCTGAAAAGCACAAAGACACCATTGAATAGCACCTTCCAAAGACGAAAAAGTAATAAAATTTCGACCCAAAATACCGACCTGCATCGATCAGATCTAAATTCAACAATCACAATCGAACCGGAGAAATCCCTCCTACGCGACGACAGAACCATCGAAAACGTGAAACGCCTACTCGACAGAAGACCCTCTCCATCCCTCGACTTGAACCGACTCAGTTACCTCGTAGACAAAAACGATCAAATGAACGCAACATTCACCCACGAAACCTCCAAGAGAAACTCATTTGGCTCAACCGACTCTGGCGAGAACCTCGACTACATGAGCTTGTCTTCTGGCAGCAGCAAAAGTTCGAAACCTCAAAGCATAGACGGCATCAACACCATCGTCGATATCCAAGAAAGCGCCCGAGTGTCGAATTTAAGAAAATCGGATTTGAAGCAGATCATGTCCACGCCCAAACCCAGGACGAAAACGCCCACATTGTGGACAAACTACGAGATATCGCCCATCAGGGATCGCAACTCCGATCCAGAACTGTCTTCCAATGAACAACCGCAAACTGTGATGATACAAAATTCAATCAGGAAACAAAAAAGTGTCGGTCACATTAATCAAAGAATTCCTAACCCGAAAAATTCAGCTGTAGGGCAAATGGAGGTGAAGCTGATTAGGGGTTCTCACCCGAATTTGAAGCTAACGGAGAGCAGGTCGCACTTGCAGAGGCCGTCGAATTTGAATTCGATGGGGCACACTCTGAAGGGGTCGTATACGAGCTTGAAACCCATGAACACGAATTTGCCGGTAGCTCCACCGCCGCTACACACAACGGTGACGGTACCTAAGGCGCCAGCAGTGGCTCAGGTACGTTTGATCGCAGTATCGTGGGTTGATTATAACGTTGGTGGTTTAGGTATCTCCCGTGCCGAGGGAAGTGCCAACAAAAAGTCAAGATGCTCAATTTGTTAAACCCCAACCACCTAGGAGTGGGTTGCCTAGACCCGTTACGGGAATTCCGAGACCAGTGTCGAAGATTCCAGCACCTAGGGGTGTGAGGTGAGTGGAATTGAAGCAACGTTAATAGAGTTGTTTTTAACGGATTTTTTTAGACCTGGTTCTAAGTCAGCGGGACATCAGGGGAGACACTAATGTACATATATCAAACCTACTTTAGTGCCTTATCTGTAACTAAAATTCGTTAATCGTAATAGACTAATTTCGTATTTTTATTGTTAATAAGTTTACCCAAGTTTTATTTGAAAAAAAGCAATATATTTGAGGTTTCTTGTAGTGGCTCTGTCTTAAATCATTGTAATTCAAAACACATGACAAAAACTGACTGATATCTATTAAAGTACATATATATGCATGACTAGATTACTTGAAGCTTTTGTAATGTGATTGAATCTCTATATTGTAAAAAGTATTTTGATAAAAAATTTGCGTGATATATTTTGAATGTGTTTATAATTTCGTTCATAAGTGCCTTACGTGGTAACAAAAAAAAAAATGGGAATCCCGTTTTCTGCAAAGGTTTGTTGTTATGAGTTGTATAGTTCTGTAATTATTTTCTATTGTAACCACGTCATATGAGTGGTTCTAACTAACTTATTTTTACAGTTTTATCCTGTTTTCTTTTTACTAATAAAAACCAAGTTGGAAGTTGTCCTTTATTGTTGGAGTAGGTGACACGTGGTCACTGCCAAACCGACTCGAATCTGTATTTTTAAGTACCACGCTACTGCAAAATTTAACGGCTCCCTAGATGACTGAAAAGTAATAATAATCTGTTAGTTCTAGTTAATAAAATAATTTTGTACTACTTGGTGTAAAAAATAAACTTAAAATTTTTTATTAAATAAGCAGCAATAAATTTAAAGACTATGAAAATTGAGAATTTAACAGTGGGGGAACTGTAAACAAAGTATTATTAGAGATATGTTCCTGGATTTTATTTTCATGCCTAATTTTTTGCGTCGTTTTGACCTTGCAAAGAATGCAAAATTTACAGTTATTGCTCTTACTATCTCTGATACACTCATTAGTTGGATTCTGTTTTTCGTGCAAAATAATGTGGTGACTAGATTTGAATTTGAGAAAAATTTAGTCAAGAAAATCGTTAAACATAGGCAACCATGTGCACGTTTAGTTCTTTGTGGGTAGCTGGTAGCTCTCCTAGGGGAATTAGTTGTTTGTAGATACACAGTTCATGTTAGGATTTTAATCGTTAACTGGTTCGAACACAATTTAACAGTCATAAAATTTGTTCCGACAAAACACTTGCTGGGAGATTTCATGAAATTCACTTAGCTAACTTGGAGCACAGCAAAAAATACCCATAGGGGGCGTTGTAGCGCGGGGTTTGGGGCTCCTGGCCACATGCCGTGCTACCCAGGCCGTTATGGTCGAAAACTCGTGGTTGGAAGTCGCGGCTATAGATAAGCTGACAGCGTCACGTCGTCCAGACCGTTCCCCTGACTTGTATACAAAGCCTGCCTCCTTTGTGCAGATGGCGCGATATATCCCACCTGCTCGACTAGGAACCGCGCCCTCCACTTCTTCTAAATTCACGAGTCACTCTCGCCCGTAGTTCTTTTTTTCTTTTTGTTTTTTTGTCAGTGGAGAAATAAATTCAATTTTGCAATTGAACAAGTGTCAAAGTTTCAAAAAGGGCAATAAGTAACAATTAAATTCGCCATACAATCTTGTGATATTTTAAACAACAAATAATTATTATTTGAGATTAATATTTGCCATCAGATAATTTATATGATGGAAACATTCATCAATAAAATATTTACATAAAAAAACTAGCAAAGATTTATAAAAACAAAAGATTTGGTTGAAATAGACTTGTGTAAATAAAAATATTACGTGAGGTTAAAACTGCAGAGCATGGAAATTTACGTTCAATTTAAATTATACAACAAAGAAAATTACTAAGGTTAAAATTGTGAGATAAAGAAATATTGTATGAGGTGAAAATTGCAAAGCTAACAAATTTACATGAGATTAATATTTACCACACTTTATCAACATTTCAAACAAAGAGTTTATATGATGTTACATTATAACATTACTGACTAAGTGAATTTCATGAAATCTCCTAGTGAGTGTTTATCTAAATAAATCTAATATCTGTTAAATTCTGTTAGCACCAGTTAACGATTAAAATCCTAACATGAACTGTGAATTTACAAACAATGAATTAAATTTACACAAGTTGGCGTCGGTCGAAAATTCACATTTTTTCCGATTAGAAAGCCGCAAGAATTAGCTGCGCGTGTTGGGGAAACCTGTGGCGTCGTCGTTACGATTAATTGTCGTTAAACAAAGGCTTCCAAACCAACAATGACGCCTTCACCATTCTATCAAACCGCCATTTTCTACCCTACCATCCCTCTAACTAGATTCCCCTAGCGAGCTACCAACTACCCAAAAAGCGTTAACGTGCACATGGTTGCCTATGTTTAACGATTTTTTTCAGCGCGTAATTTTAATTCAAATTCGGTCACCACAACTCACCAATGTGGAAACATGCCGTGCTACCCAGGCCGTTATGGTCGAAAACTCGTGGTTGGAAGTCACGGTTATAGATAAGCTGACAGCGTCACGTCGTCCAGACCGTTCCCCTGACTTCTATACAAAACCCGCCTCCTTTGTGCAGATGACGTGATATATCCCGCCAGCTCGACTAGGAACCGCGCCCTCCACTTCTTCTAAATTCGCGACTCACTCTCGCTCACAGCTTTTTTTCTTTTTTTTTGTCAGTAGAGGAATAAATAATTTTGTGTCCTCTATAAATTTGGTGTTTTATTTTGCAATTGAACAAGTGTCAAAGTTTCAAAAAGGGCAATAAACAACATTTAAATTCGTCATACAATCTTGTGAAATTTTAAACAACAAATAATTCTTATTTGAGATTAAGATTGTATATCAGATAATTTGTATGATGGAAACATTCATTAATAAAATATTTACATAAAAAAAACTAGCAAAGATGTATTAAAACAAAAGATTTGGTCGAAATAAACGGTGCAAATAAAAATATTACCAGAGGTTAAAACTGCAGAGCATGGAAATTTACGTTCAATTTAAATTATACAACAAAGAAAATTACTGAGGTTAAAATTGTGAGATAGAGAAATATTGTACTAGGTGAAGATTGCAAAGCTAACAAATTTACATGAGATTAATATTTGCCACACTTTATCAACGATTCAAACAAAGAATTTATATGATGTTACATTATAACATTACTGACTAAGTGAATTTCATGAAATCTCCCTAGTGAGTGTTTATCTAAATAAATCTAATATCTGTTAAATTCTGTTAGCACCAGTTAACGATTAAAATCCTAACACGAACTGTGAATTTACAAACAACGAATTAAATTTACACGAGTTGGCGTCGATCGAAAATTCACATTTCTTCCGATTAGAAAGCCGCAAGAATTAGCTGCGCGTGTTGGGGGAAACCTGTGGCGTCGTCGTTGTTACGATTAATTGTCGTTAAACAAAAGCTCCCTCCTTTTATTAACTACCAAGCCAACTAAACTTAACCTACTCACTAACCGCGTCTTTTACCATGCTCTCACACCCAGAACCAAACCAACAATGACGCTTTCACTATTCTACCAAACCGCCATCTTCTACCCTACCATCCCTGTAACTAGAATCCCCTAGCGAGCTACCAACTACCCAAAAAGCGTTAACGTGCACATGGTTGCCTATCTTTAACGATTTTTTTTCAGTGCGAAATTTTCATTCAACTTGGATAATAGCATCATTTAACATCATGTAAATTTTTTGTTTAAGTCGTTAATAAAGTGTGGCAAATATTAACCTCATGTGATTTTGTTCGCCTTGCAAGTTTTCACCTCATACAATGCAGTTCCTAACCTTTTGTTTGCACAAGTTTTACTTCACACCAGATCTTTTTCGTTTTATAAATCTTTGCTAGTTATGTTGACCACGTAAATATTTTGTTGATTAATGTTAAAGAGTGTATGGCGAATTTAAATGTTGTTCATTGTTCTTTTGAAACTTTAACATTTGTTCAGTTGTAGTTTAATATCAAAGTTATAGAAAGTGAACATAGAATTGAGGTAAATAACACAGAAACGTGTGGCAGAAGCGGAGGGCGCGGTTCTTAGTCGAGCGGGATTTATCGCGCCATGTGCACAAAGACGCAGACCTAGAATAGAAGTCAGGGGCGGCTCGTTTCTTCGGGATAGAATAGAATCACCGTCGTGGGTAGGAGAACAGCCACAACCAGGAGCCCCAAACTCCGCTCGCTCCGCTTAGTCACAGCTTTTTTTTATTTATTTTTTTGTCAGTGGAGGAATTAGTGTCCTCCATATACTTTATATTTTATTTAGTGGTACTTTTCCAACCTTGGGGTCCACCACTTGCATCTGAACACATTCCACAACAACAACAACAACTAAAAAAAACAAACACAGTGTAGGGTTCCATTTTGTTAGACGATCACAGCTAAGGCCAAATTTTTGAATTTTTGTTATTTTTGCGGGTTTTTCAATTTTTTTTTTTCACATGACATTTTACACCCAGAACGCTTAGTTTACGGAGTCGTGTATAATGTGACAAAAGAGGAGGAAACTTAAATAAATTGACTGATTCATAAATTTTTTTGACTCACTCTGTGTAAGCAAATCTAAAAAATATTAATACAGTGATAAATTACAAGTATTGACTCATCCTGATCATACAGTATGGCTCCAGAAAAAACGGGAACTCTCAAAATTAGTATGACAGATTACTGCGTAAATTTTTCTAGTTCAAATGGGACTATTATTTTGAAATAGGTTAGAACAATAATGACAATACAAAAATTTTATGTCAAAATAGTGACAAATATTTAACAGATTTGTCAAACTGACAAGTAAGCGACAGGTATATTTTACATTTTACATTGTACAAACATTCCATTCCCGTTTTTTCTGGAGCCAACTATATTTTACACTTTTAAGATAGGATTTATTCAGCGAAATTTTGAGGTGAAGTCATCAATTTTTTAACGGGATCATGGTACAAAAAGACAAGGAAATATGGCTTTTGCAATTATGGGGCGGAGCCTAATTGTAAAAATCGATATTTCTTTATACAAATTTTCCATTTTAAACATGTTGTAAGTTGCATGTTGTGAAAAGAAGACTACACATATTAAAACAAAAAGGCAAACTGTCCGCCCACCCGCCCGCCCTATCTCAATTGTGACGATTTTTTTCATTCGCCCGGAACCAAGGGAACTCAGCTTAACTGCAAAATACTTATTCCTTTACAGGAAATTAAAAACATGCTTTTCAGCATCGTGTTGTTCAAAGAATATTATGTATATTAAGAAAAAAGGTTAAAATATTGAGCCCACCCACCCACCCCATCTCAACTGTGGTGATTTTTTTTTTTAAAACTTAAAACATGTTTAAAATGGTAAATTCTTGTTGACAAATATCGATCTGGCAATTAAGCCCCGCCCTTTGATCTGGCAACGAATTGAGAATTGAGGTCGGGGCAGGTATGGGTGGGGCCTAATCTTCAGGTGTATTTTTTTCTTAATATACATATTTAGATTTTTTGAACCATGAAGTCTTTCTTCTACTATTTTATCAAAAAAATATTGGGCATTGCCATTCTATCATTTATGACAAATCATATGTGATTCAAGCTTTAGTGTCATTTTGGCACTTTTCAAAAATCTATTTTGTCAAACGATGCCTTTGATATTATTAATATCCGACAGATATGACACTACTGTTAGTAAATTAACGGGCCAATTTCAAGTTGGTTTGCAATTAATTGCAAGCTGCGTTGCTATGGTAACCTCGCAAAAATATAATGGTTTGTATTAAGAGTTCTACGAGATCACCATAGCAACGGCGCTTGCAATTAATTGCAAACCAACTTGAAATTGGCCCGTAAGATTATCTAACTAAAGCACATTTTACAAGTTATGACATTATTAAATGACAACTGATTAAATCAATAAAATGTATTCACGCATTCATTATTTTTTTGAGCCAGCCGGTATATGCAAATTTAAAAAATTAATCGGCTTCACTACTATTGGCAATCCTGGGACCTACGTCATTTGTCGACGACGGTGTGACCAGCGAATATGGCGACGATAGATAACTTGTCAAGTTGTCAAAACTCATGATGACATAACCTAAAACGCGCGTCATTCCAGAATAAATAATAAACGTTTTTCGTATTTATCTATGAAGTTAGGGAAATTATCTAGTCAATTAAGATAAGTTTAACTCATTTAGTACAATGGACTTACACAAACCAGTGGATTTGTTGAATAAGGTAGTAATGAAGGCTGTCACAACTTAAAAAAAAACTAATTTTCTCGCTAATTTCAGTCCGTTGAGGAATTAACACCCGAGGAAAAATGGAGACTGGAGCACCAGAAATTACACGAGCAGCACAAAGGCCACGAGAAAATGCATGCCGAAATGGTGCTTATTCTAATCCTGACTCTAGTTCTAGCCCAAGTAGTGTTAATTGAATGGAAAAAACGACATTCCCGTTCATATCTAGTACGTGGTTAAAATGACGAAATAGCGATTTACGTTCCGTTTTTTCAGTTAGTAACGCTACTGGGAATGTGGATAATTCCATTAATTCTGTGTTTGCGGAACCACTGGTGGCGCTTCATTTTCATATGGTTGTTGTTTTCTTGTATCACCAGTCTCATCGTGCGGAAGGCGTTACAGAAACCCATAACAGGGACAACGCCAAGGTAACTAGTGGCGAATGTACAGACTTAGAAATAAGAATTGAATTTTCAGACTAGTCTATAAATGGTTTCTTTTTATTTATAAATTAAGCTATGTACTGGGTCTCTTAGGTTACTTCATAATGATGGCGACATTTTTTGGGCTGAATTTGGTGTTTAACGCGAAAGCTAACGCTTGGATGGATTGCGCTTTACTTCTGGTTTTTTACGGGTTGTATTATGGGGTGTTGGGTAGAGACATTTCCGAGATTTGTGCTGACAAAATGGCGTCTCATGTTGGGGTAATGCAACCAATACAATTACATAATTTATTCCACTAATTAAATCTTACAGTATTACACAAATCACGGGATGCCCACACGGAATTTGGACCCTACTGTATGTGCTGTGTGCGGCAACAAACTACTAGTCAGTGAAAATGAAGAGGGAGTGATTGAGAACACCTATAAATTAACGTGTGACCACGTGTAAGTCTCCAGGAATTGATAAAACTGGAATTATGGTGGTTGCTTACAGATTCCATGAATTCTGTATACGTGGCTGGTGTATTGTGGGTAAAAAACAGACTTGCCCTTACTGTAAGGAGAAAGTGGATTTGAAAAAAATGTTTTGTAATCCATGGGAGAAGCCGCACGTGCTGTATGGTCAGCTGCTGGATTGGATCCGGTGGTTAGTGGCTTGGCAACCCATGATTCTTTTCCTCGTTCAGGGGATTAATTGGGTCTTAGGTTTAGAATAACGCCTGTTATTCCCTTTTTTAATTTATTCGCCATGTGATCATTTTTTAGATATTTAAATACATGTGGGTCAGTTACTCCAGTTCATTGTTAGATTTATGCAATTCATATTTTTCATGCCAAAATGAGGAGGAATATTTTAATTTAAAAAAACGACTGTCCATGTCTTAACATCTTGTTTCTGTCGCCTGTGAAAATTTTTATTTTAAAATATGAAGGAAAACCGAAATTGAGGTAAATTGTGAGCCTTGATTGTACAAACGTTTAGTAACAAGTTAGAAATAGGGGTGGATAATCAAGCAAGATAACACAGCATCAGAGAAAGTGGAAATGAGTGAAAAGGATTGGATGGGTAGTAAGCTGCTCTTGGTCGCAAAACATCAAAAGAAATTGTTACAATGTCCAAGGAAAATTTTTCTTGTTAAAAAAGTTACCCCCAAAAAATTACGAATATAAATACATTTTCATTGGTTTACTGTTGTCTCGCTACCCAGTTCACTAGTTTTTGGAACATTCATATTACTTTATTTTCTTAAAAGTTCAAGTCGCAACAGTTAAATGTTTGTATTTTTTCTGTCACTAGTTCTCTATGCTGTCAATTTGAATCGCGAATACAGAATTTAAACAGAGAACATAGAGAAGCGTCATAGTTTAAATTAAATGACGGTTGAGGACTCCTCGAGTTATGTTGGCAACAGTGTTTGTTTCTAACTAGGAATAAAATTAACTAGAAAAAATGTCAATATTTTTAACGACGCGTTTTACTTTCTACAAATTTTAGTTTGGGGACTTTTCAGTTTATTCCTATTTATTTTTCAATTTTTAGATTTTACAATTTCTCAATTTTTCAATTTCTCGGTTCAGTTTTTCTCTTCAATTTTACGATTTTTAAATATTTCGATTTTTCAATATTTCGATTTTTCAATTTTTGACTTTTATAAACTCTTTATTTGTCGATTTTTCAATTAATTTATTTTTCAGTTTTTTTGGTTTTTCAATTTTTCTATTTTTTCAGGTTTCGATATTTCAACTTCACTTTTTTGATTTTTCGATTTCTCAACTTTTTAATTTCTCAGTTTTTGGACATTTCAGTTTTGGGATTTTTGAGCTTTCGATTCGTCAGTTTTTTTTTCATTTTTCAGTTTTTCAGTATTTTCCCATTTTTGACTTCTGAATTTTTCGACTTTTTACTTTTTCGATTTTTAAATTTTAGAGATCTCAATTTTTTGGTATTTTAATTTTTCAATATTTAAAATTTTAGATTTTTTGATTTCTCGATTTTTCATTTCAGCTCTTCCATATTTCAATTTTTCAAATGTTTAGGTTTCTTAATCTTTCCATTTTTCGACTTCCTGGTTTTAGATTTTCTGTTTTTCAATTGTCTTTTTTTCAATTTTTCGATTTTTAAATTTTAGATTTTTCGATTTCTCGATTTTTCATTTCAGTTCTTCGATATTTCAGTTTTTCAAGTTTTCGAGTTTTTCAAATGTTTTGATTTCTTAATCAATCGATTTTTCGACTTCCCAGTTTTAGATTTTTTGTTTTTTAATTGTCGTTTTTTCAAATTTTCGATTTTTCAAATTTGACACTTATAAACTGTCAATTTTTCGATTTTTCAATTAATCGATGTTTTAATTTTCCCATTTCTTGACTTTCGAGGGTTTCGATATTCCTGTTCTTCAATTCTTTAATTTTTCAATTTTCGACTTCACTTTTTGGATTTTTTTATTGCTCAATTTTTCGATTTTTTAGGTTCTCACTTTTTGGACATTTCAGTTTTGGGATTTTTCAGTTTACTTATTATTCAATTTTTCGATCTTACGATTTTGCAGGTTTTTGATTTTTCAGTTTTTCGATATTTCAGTTTTGGGATTTTTCAATATTTCGATTTTTGACTCCTGGATTTTTCGATGTGTCGATTTTTTTACTTTTTCGATTTTTAAATTTTAGATTTTTAATTTTTAAAATTTTAGATTTTTCGATTTCTCGATTTTTCATTTCAGTTCTTCCATATTTCAATTTTTCAAATTTTCGAATTTTTCAAATGTTTCGATTTCTTAATCTTTTGATTTTTCGACTTCCCGGTTTTAGATTTTCTGTTGTTCAATTGTCATTTTGTCAAATTTTCGATTTTTTAATTTATCAAATTTGACTTTTATAAACTCTCAATTTTTCGATTTTTCAATTAATCGATGTTTTAATTTTCCCATTTCTTGACTTTCGAGGGTTTCGATATTCCTGTTCTTCAATTCTTTAATTTTTCAATTTTTCAGGTTTTTGATTTTTTATTTTTTTATTTTTTTAGGTTTCAATTTTCGACTTCACTTTTTGGATTTTTTTATTGTTCAATTTTTCGATTTTTTAGGTTCTCAGTTTTTGGACATTTCAGTTTTGGGATTTTTCAGTTTACTTATTATTCAATTTTTCGATCTTACGAATTTGCAGGTTTTTGATTTTTCAATTTTTCGATTTTTTTAAGGTGTCGATATTTCGACTTCACTTTTTTGATTTTTCAATTTTTCGGTTCTTTAGATTCTCAGTTTTTGAATATTTCAGTTTTGAGATTTTTCAGCTTTCGATTCGTCAGTTTTTCTTTCATTTTTCAGTTTTGGGATTTTTCAATATTTCTGTTCTTCGACTTTTTCATTTTTGACTTCAGGATTTTTCAGTGTGTCGACTTTTTACTTTTTCGGTTTTTAAATTTTAGATTTATCAATTTTTTGGTATTTTAATTTTTCAATATTTAAAATTTTAGATTTTTCGATTTCTCGATTTTTCATTTCAGCTCTTCCATATTTCAATTTTTCAAATGTTTCGATTTCTTAATCTTTCGATTCCTCGACTTCCCGGTTTTAGATTTTCTGTTTTTCAATTTTTCGATTTTTAAATTTTAGATTTTTGATTTCAGTTCTTCGATATTTCAGTTTTTCAAGTTTTCGAGTTTTTCAAATGTTTTGATTTCTTAATCAATCGATTTTTCGACTTACCGGTTTTAGATTTTTTGTTTTTTAATTGTCGTTTTTTCAAATTTTCGATTTTTCAAATTTGACATTTATAAACTGTCAATTTTTCGATTTTTCAATTAATCGATGTTTTAATTTTCCCATTTCTTGATTTTCGAGGGTTTCGATATTCCTGTTCTTCAATTCTTTAATTTTTCAATTTTTCAGGTTTTTGATTTTTTATTTTTTAATTTTTTTAAGGTTTCGATATTTCGACTTCACTTTCTTGATTTTTCGATTTCTCAATTTTTCGATTCTTTAGATTCTCAGTTTTTGGATATTTCAGTTTTGGGATTTTTCAGCTTTCGATTCGTCAGTTTTTCTTTCATTTTTCAGTATTTCAGTTTTGGGTTTTTTCAATATTTCTGTTTTTCGACTTTTCCATTTTTGACTTCTGGATTTTTCAATGTGTCGACTTTTTACTTTTTCGATTTTTAAATTTTAGATTTCTCAATTTTGGTATTTTAATTTTTCAATATTTAAAATTTTAGATTTTTTGATTTCTCGATTTTTCATTTCAGCTCTTCCATATTTCAATTTTTCAAATGTTTCGATTTCTTAATCTTTCGATTTTTCGACTTCCCGGTTTTAGATTCTCTGTTTTTCAATTGCCGTTTTTCCAATTTTTCGATTTTTAAATTTTAGATTTTTTCGATTTCACGATTTTTCATTTCAGTTCTTCGATATTTCAGTTTTTCAAGTTTTCGAATTTTTCAAATGTTTTGATTTCTTAATCAATCGATTTTTCGATTTCCCGGTTTTAGATTTTTTGTTTTTCAATTGTCGTTTTTTCAAATTTTCGATTTTTCAATTTTACAAATTTGACATTTATAAACTGTCAATTTTTAGATTTTTCAATTAATCGATGTTTTGATTTTCCCATTTCTTGACTTTCGAGGGTTTCGATATTCCTGTTCTTCAATTCTTTAATTTTTCGATTTTTCAGGTTTTTGATTTTTTATTTTTTAATTTTTTTAAGGTTTCAATTTTTCGACTTCACTTTTTGGATTTTTTTATTGCTCAATTTTTCGATTTTTTAGGTTCTCAGTTTTTGGATATTTGAGTTTTCGGATTTTTCAGGTTTTCCATTTTTCAGTTTTTCTTTCATTTTTCAGTTTTTCGATATTTCAGTTTTGAGATTTTTCAATATTTTGATTCTTCGACTTTTCGATTTTTGGCTTGTGGAGTTTTCGATGTGTCGATTTTTTTACTTTTTCGATTTATTAATTTTTCGATTGCTTAATCTTTCGATTTTTCGACTTCCCGGTTTTAGATTTTCTGTTTTCAATTGTCGTTTTAATTTTTCGATTTTTCAATGTTTTGAGTTCACGATTTAATTTCCCATTTTTAGTGTCTCTTTCATTTTTCAGTTTTTCGATATTTCAGTTTTTGGATTTTTCAATATTTCGATTCTTCGACTTTGCGATTCTTGACTCCTGGATTTTTCGATGTGTTGATTTTTTTACTTTTTAGATTTTTAATTTTTAAAATTTTAGATTTTTCAATTTCATGATTTTTCATTTCAGTTCTTCGATATTTAAGTTGTTCAAGTTTTCGAATTTTTCAAATGTTTTGATTTCTTAATCAATCGATTTTTCGACTTCCCGGTTTTTAGATTTTTTGTTTTTTAATTGTCGTTTTTTCAAATATTCGATTTTTCAATTTTTCAAATTTGACATTTATAAACTGTCAATTTTTCGATTTTTCAATTAATCGATGATTTGGTTTCCCCATTTCTTGACTTTCGAGGGTTTCGATATTCCTCTTCTTCAATTCTTTAATTTTTCGATTTTTCAGTTTTTTGATTTTTTATTTTTTAATTTTTTTAAGGTTTCAATTTTTCAACTTCACTTTTTGGATTTTTTTATTGCTCAATTTTTCGATTTTTTAGGTTCTCAGTTTTTGGATATTTGAGTTTTCGGATTTTTCAGGTTTTCCATTTTTCAGTTTTTCTTTCATTTTTCAGTTTTTCGATATTTCAGTTTTGAGATTTTTCAATATTTTGATTCTTCGACTTTTCGATTTTTGGCTTGTGGAGTTTTCGATGTGTCGATTTTTTTACTTTTTCGATTTATTAATTTTTCGATTGCTTAATCTTTCGATTTTTCGACTTCCCGGTTTTAGATTTTCTGTTTTCAATTGTCGTTTTAATTTTTCGATTTTTCAATGTTTTGAGTTCCCGATTTAATTTCCCATTTTCAGTGTCTCTTTCATTTTTCAGTTTTTCGATATTTCAGTTTTGGGATTTTTCAATATTTCAATTCTTTGACTTTTCGATTTTTGACTCCTGGATTTTTTGATGTGTTGATTTTTTTACTTTTTCGATTTTTAAATTTTAGATTTTTAATTTTTAAAATTTTAGATTTTTCGATTTCACGATTTTTCATTTCAGTTCTTCGATATTTCAGTTTTTCAAGTTTCCGAATTTTTCAAATGTCATTTTGTCAAATTTTCGATTTTTTAATTTTTCAAATTTCAATTTTTAGATATTTCATTCAGTTTTAGGATTTTTCAATATTTCATTTCTTTGGCTTTTCTATTTTTGACTTCTGGGTTTTTCGATGTGTCTACCTTTTTACTTTTTCGATTTTTCAGTTTTTGGATTTTTAAAATTTAGATTTTTCAATCTTTTGATATTTTAATTTTTCAATATTTCTTAATCTTTCTATTTTTCGACTTCCTGGTTTTAGATGTTCTGTTTTTCAATTTTTCGATTTGTTAATTTTTCATTTCCGATTTATGGAGATTTGATTGTTCAGATTTTCAATTTTTTATTTTGGCCTATTTCTGTTTCTCATTTTTTCCGCTTTTCCAATTTTTCAACTTTTAACTTGTTTGTAGATTTCTCTATTTTTCGACTTCATCACTTTTCGATTTTTCGTTCTTTGGATCTTTCAATCTCTCAATTTTTCGAATTTTTAAGTTTTTTGATTTCTTGATTTATCGAGATTTGGATTTTTCGATATTTTGATTGTCAACTTCTCAATTTTTAAATTGTTCAATTTTTAACTTTTCAATTTTTCGATTTTGACCTATTTCGGTTTCTTAGTTGTTCGACTTTTAGACTCCACAATTATTGATCTTGTGATTGTTCGATTTCTCAGTTCTACGATATTTCGATTTTTCAATGTTTCGGTTTTACGATTTTTCAAGGTTTCGATTTCTCGATTTTTCGATTATTTTAATTGTTCATTTTTTTTCTCACTGTTAATATCATACAGTGTATCGAAAACAACCACAAAAATTGTCACTAAGAACATTTAAAAATCTTAGTTTAAGACGTTTTGCTAGTATAAAACACAAATAAAGAATTAATTCTTAGTTAAACAAAATATGTAAAATCATCTAAATATGTACCAAAAATATTCACTAAACCAAACAACTATTTCGCGCAGAAATTATAGTCTAAACCAACCAAATCGCTTCTGATCGCTTAGAGTCGACATTGGCCTGAGCGCGCTCTTGTCTGTAAATCGAACAAGTTCTCAGGCCACAAGTTGTAGTGAATCAAGTTTTTTTATTGGCATCGAATATTTAAATTTGGCGGTTGAGGACTCCAATGTCAATAAGGGTGGTTTTGCAAAATGAGCTTGTATGTCGCATCTCTATTAATCTATGATTTAAATGTGTAATCTTACACAGGTTGCCCAAAATATTCTATTTCTTTCCAATACATTACAAAATCGGAAACTGAAACGAAAAATCTTATCCTAGACGCACACCTTTTTTGCAGGTGGAGCGTTTGTGGGTCGATCAGTGTCGCCGTAGCGGCAGGCGCGCCAACTATCCCGTCCGTCGAGTCGGAATAGTTTAGTGACATTGGTGGCTGTTGTTGAGTTGAGTTGTGTGGTAAATTTTTAATTTTTTATTTATCGTCCGCTACGTGGTTGGAACCCGTCGGACACTTCTTGTGCATGTTCGCTCCACGTTCGGCAGTCAGTTCGAGCTGATCGTTTTTTGTTTTACCTGACCCAGGTGAGTATCCGCTGACGTTTTCCCAACCCAACTTCCATATTCCCTGTTATTAAAAACGTGTGTGAACGAGTGTTTCGGAATCCGGTTATGTTCGGAGTGCCGCCTACTCTTAGGGTAGGTAAGTGAACTACCTGTGAAGGACGTTTTCGGGCACCTGTAGGAGTCTCCCGCTGGACCCGTTTTCCACATAGTGTTTACGCCGCTTTTCAAACAAATATTTGCGCTTTGCATGTTGGCAGCGACACTGAATCGCGATTTTCGGAAAATCGGCGTCGACGTCGCGGGTTTGTGGAGCGCGCTCGAGTTCGATCTGGGCTTTTATTAGAACGTTTTGTCAATTGTGTTGTCACTCACATAATCAATTTGCATAGACGTTTGAGAATCGGAGCTGCATGACTGACATTTGAAAATTCTCGGCCGGATATCCGTCGTTAGTGCCAACCGCACGAAAAACGACAAATTTAAAATGGTTAGAAGGGCGAAAAATGCGGGACGAGGTGAGTGCATTTTCGTTAAGTGACCGTTGGAGTACTCCAAGCAAGAACGTTCAAACATCCGATGGACGAATTTTTCGTAAGTGCGCCGATAACGCGTGCCTTGACTATGCAAAACTATTTATTTAAATATTTTAGTAGGTTGTTTTTGAATTACTATCAGCGGCCTTGAGTTTACTTTTGCCACGCCCACAAATTAGGTTACTGCATCAAGGTCGCAAATGTCAGTGGTGGAATGCTGCGGCTCATTCGGAGCAGCCTCTATGTAGCCGATGTCGCGTCTTTTATATATCGCGTTAGTTGAAACAATAATAAATAAAAAAATTAGGGCCTCTATCACATTTATTAAATTCGGATTTTATCGCAACTGCAGCAATTTATTGAAAGATTTGGTGAAATTATTATATTGTTTTCACTTTGAAATCTATAATACGTTTTTAATTAGGTACCATTCGTTTTGATAAAAATCATTATGGCCATGACAATCGGTGGGTGGAGTATGTTTGTGTGTAGCGACTATATATATAATTGTTAGAATATGTCATTAAGGAAACATGATTTTGTACAATTGTGTCAATAATACAAGTATCCACAATGAAGTGGTATGGGGTCAATAATGCATCCCTGTTAGTAATTAATACTTGTTCAGATAAGATAAAAAAGTAAAAGCATTTCATAAATGGGGAAGTACCAATGTGATAAAACGAAAACTGAAAATGGGAAAACCAGGAGTGCCAAAAAAATTTGAGAGAGGATAGTGAAACTGACTAGTGATAAGGAGAATGAATAGATTTGTTTCTGGGAGAGAAAGTTTTAAACTTAGACCGACACTCTTAACATTTATACCCAGAATTAAATTGTATCTCGTGGGAATAAATGGTTATAAGGTAACAATAGAGACTTTATGCAAATGTTGAAAAGTATGAAAATTTAAAAATAAAATTGGAACTTGCCAATAATAAGTGCGCTGATAAGACATAATTGCATTGCGCACTCTTATTATATGATCGCATACAGGGAATTCGATAACAGTGAAGTGTTGACGTCAAGTAACTCGAGCGGTGGTTTGCACGTTGCTGCGAAACTTTTTAACGACTCCCGTTTCCGTCTGTCTGTCTGTCTGCCATCCTGATTTTGTATTTATATTACGAATATCATGTAGATGGTAAAACGCTAACCAAAATTTGTGTAATCATCGCCACCAATAATGTGATGACGTCACTTCAAAATTGTGCATAGTAAATGGGTTTTTAATTGTATAAAATAACATAGTCCCACACATGTAGTTTTTGACTCCGTGTTGAGTTTATACCCAAACCGTCCAGATTTTTTAAAAAACATGTAAATCATAAAACAACTTTTTGCTCATTTCCCCTAAAAAATTGATGACGTCAGCTCAAACTTTGTCGAATAAATCCCATCTAAATTGTACAGAATATGATGAGTCTGTACTTGCAATTTATTTTATTGATTTAATTAGGAACAAGAAAACCGAATACTTTGCTAAATTTTTAATCAAAATGTATCTGTTTATCAACCCAAAAAAATGTTCTAAAAATTTTGCCCAATAAATTCTTTCAAAAATGTGCAAAATATGATCAGACTATACTTGTAATTTATCATTGCATTAATATTTTTTAGATTTGTTTATACAGGGTGACTCAAAAAGATTAATGAATCAGTCAATTTATTATTTCAATAATAAATTATGTACGTCTGTCGAGTGGGAATGGAAACTAATTATAGAATCTAGGATGTGAAAAAGTAAAAAACGCGCTAATCGTTACTTTTATTGTTAAAATCAGTCTCATCTTAGCAAGTACTAGCCCCGCCCACCCGCCCTCTATTTTCTCAGAAAGTATGACGTTTGCCAAAATCAGTCTTATCTGAGCAAGTACTAGCAAGCACTACCTTCTGAGAAAATAAAGGGCGGGTGGGCGGGGCTAGTACTGCTAACATATGCCTTATTTTGGCAATTGAAATATCTATAGCCCCTAGAAAACACATAGTATAGTCACCGTGGAGCAAACCTGGCGTAAACTTAACAAAAACAAAAATTACTAACACCATTTGACAGACCGTGAAATTTAAAATGGTTTTATGTTGGATTTAAACTTTGTAGTTTATGCACAAAATTTTGATTTTTAATTTGAATAAAATTCAAAAAATGTGTTGATTAGACAAATAATATTAATGGAATATAAAATTTAATCAGTAAAATCATATTTAGTAATTAATTTTATTAATTGACAATTTTAAATCGAACACAAAATTTGTTTATACAATTTTTTACTCATTGAATAACCACTATATACATTTTTTTGTGAAATTTTGCATCACTTGCCTTTATAGCAAAAAAAATTCTGGTTTACAATTTTTTTTTAATTCCACTACACTGACATACAGTTCTCTCAAGACCGAACCCTAATATTAAATTAAAACACTGTTGAACCACTAATACAGCGACTTTAAACAAGAACAACGTGCACGTCACGACCACGTTACAACCATTTACGTACTGTCAACTCTCTGCTGACAAAATTTGGTTCCAAACCAGGGGACTTTTTTGCGTTACTAACTGCATTTGCTCCAATCGTACAACTATGTATTTCTCGGGGCTATAAACATATCCTCTGAGAAAACAGGGGGCGGGTGGGCGGGCCTAATATTTGTTAAGATAAAACTGATTTTGTCCCTATTAATCTTGTAAAAACTTGTGAAATTTAAAGGTGTTAAATTGCCCAAAACGTGAAAAATATGATGAGTTTTTACTTGTGGTTTATCATTGGATTCATATTTTTTAGATTTGTTTATACAGGTGGCGCAAAAAAAATATCTTAGCAAGGACTAACCCCGCCCCCCGCCCTCTATTTTCTTAAAGAGTATATCATTTACCAAAATCAGTTTTACCTTAGCAAGTACTAGCCCCGCCCACCTGCCCTCTGTTTCCTTGAAGTATATATCATCTGCCAAAATCAGTCTTAACTTAGCAAGTACTGGCCCCGCCCACCCGCCCTCTGTTTCATTAAAGAATATATCATCTGCCAAAATCAGTCTTATCTGAGCAAATACTAGCCCCGCCCACCCGCCCTCTATTTGTCCGAGGGTATGGCGTTTGCCAAAATCAGTCTTATCTGAGCAAGTACTAGCAAGCACTACCTTCTGAGAAAATAAAGGGCGGGTGGGCGGGGCTAGTACTTGCTAACACATGTCTTATTTTGGCAGTTGACATATCCTCTGAGAAAATAGGGGGCGGGTGGGCGGGATTAGTCGTTGCTAAGATAAGACTTATTTCGACAAATGATATATCCTCTGGGATAATAGGGGGCGGGTGGGCGGGCCTAATATTTGTTAAGATAAAACTGATTTTGCTCCTATTAATCTTGTAAAAACTCGTGAAAATTAAAGGTGTTAAATTACCCAAAACGTGCAAAATATGATGAGTTTTTACTTGTGGTTTATCACTGCATTAATATTTTTTAGATTTGTTTATACAGGTGGCGCAAAAAATTATCTTAGCAAGGACTAACCCCGCCCATGCGCCCTTTATTTTCTTAAGAGTATATCATTTACCAAAATCAGTTTTATCTTAGCAAGTACTAGCCCCGCCCACCCGCCCTCTGTTTCTTTAAAGAATATATCATCTGCCAAAAACAGTCTTAACCTAGCAAGTACCTACCCGCCCTCTATTTTCTCATAGGGTATGGCATTTGCCAAAATCAGTCTTATCTGAGCAAGTACTAGCAAGCACTACCTTCTGAGCAAATAAAGGGCGGGCGGGCGGGGCCAGTACTTGCTAACACAAGTCTTATTTTGACAGTTGACATTTCCTCTGAGAAGATAGGGGGCGGGTGGGCGGGGCTAGTACTTGCTAAGGTAAGACCTGTTTCGGCAAATGATATATCTTCTGGGAAAATAGAGGGCGGGTGGGCGGATCTAGTATTTGTTAAGATAAAACTGATTTTGCCCCTATTGATCTTGTAAAAACTTGTGAAGTTTAAAGCTGTTAAATTACCCAAAACGTGCAAAATATGATGAGTTTTTACTTGTGGTTTATCAATGCATTAATATTTTTTAGATTTTCTTATACAGATGGCGTAAAACTATCTTAGCAAGGACTAACCCCGCCCACGCGCCCTTTATTTTCTTAAGAGTATATCATTTACCAAAATCAGTTTTATCTTAGCAAGTACTAGCCCCGCCCACCCGCCCCCTGTTTTCTTAAAGAATATATCATCTGCCAAAATCAGTCTTAACCTAGCAAGTACTAGCCCCACCCACCCGCCCTCTATTTTCTCATAGGGTATGGCGTTTGCCAAAATCAGTCTTATCTGAGCAAGTACTAGCAAGCAGTACCCCCTGAGAAAAAAAGGGCGAGTGGGCGGGGTTAGTATTTGCTAACACATGTCTTATTTTGGCAGTTGACATATCCTGTGAGAAAATAGGGGCGGGTGGGCGGGGCTAATACTTGCTAAGAGAAGACTTGTTTCGGCAAATTATATATCT